CGAAATTTATCATCAATAAGAGGACAGACGCATAAAAAACTGACGTCAATTTGTTTTTTATAATAACAAGTCCCCAAAATGGTCAAATGCCGGGAATAAATGAGGGGAAAAGACGCCGTAAACTTGCCGTAAACAAAGATAAGTGAATTTTATTCAAAACAACGCGAACATTGTCTTAGCTTTTGTCGCTTTTTGATTGGCTACTTAAAAAAGTCCACAAACTCTCATTGGTTAAAACGTTGACGGTTTGACAGTTGAAAGTTGAACTTGAAAGCTTGTATAAATTAAAATTTTACTCGTCTGTACTTTTATTGATGATAAAAATGAGCCAATCAGCGCTCGAGAAATTAGACAGTTATTGTAAAAATGAAATTTTTATTTAAAGCCAGCCTGGCCACGCCGCATGCGAAAATGCTGCAAACTGTATCGAAACAGTGTCTAGTCATTGATTAATAATAAAAAGCATGGTACATACAGTAGCAACTACGTATGATTCGATGCAAAATCCGATTTCAGAACATCCTCCAAATTCGTTCGAACTCCCCACAACGAAACACTCCAGTACTAAGTTGAACTATTTGTATTGTCTTTTAGATATCGATGAGTGTACAAACGGAACACACAACTGTGATGTTAATGCTGTGTGTAACAATACACTGGGATCCTATAACTGCAAATGCAAAGATGGATTTTATGGTGACTATATAGACGAAAAAATCTATTACTGTATATCAATTTAAGTTTTTGGAAGAAGTTTGTGAGTTTTGTTTTAAGCCTGAAGCAGCAACTTTCCCAATGAGTATCACACATTAGGGTCGGGAAAAAATGCTTTGGCTTTACAAAAGAAAAAAAATAGGACAATCCAATGAGGTAGAATTAATTTCATAGTAACTGTTTCTTTTTTTTCTTTTTTTAGGGGACGGAAAAAGTTGCAGTCTCTTTGCGACAGGTGAATATTTTACGTTAATTGATCACGTTTTAATTGATGCTTGACGAGCATTTATATACGATTTTCAAAAGAAACACTGAACGGCAAAAGAATGAGTAGCCAAACGAGCACAAAGCAAACGAAAGCCCAGATGTTTTCTGCGCTCTCAGCTGGGCTGAGAGCGCAGAAAACATCAGTGATGAAACGTCAAAACATATCAAAATAGCTTTTCAACACATTACCCGCAATTTCGTCTTAGGTAGTTTCGATAAAATGGCTTGGGCTGTCCACGCAATGCGCGAGCAACATCCGCGGAAGAACTGGGTATCATGGCTTAAAATTAAATAACTTAAGAGGCATTACCTTTGGTATAAGGCCTATATGGAGTATTCACACTCTTACCTCGATCTTCTCTTGCCTAATCTAATTGTTGAGCAGTTAATCTTAACAGTTGAGAGTGCAAAATTAAGACCGCTTTGGGAACCAATCACAATTCTTCTTTTCATTTTGGACCAGTTTGTCCTATAATAGGGGAGTTTAGATTTAGTACGAGTACGAGATCGAGTACGAGAACAACTTTTCAATTCTATTTTTCAGGCTTCACATTACTACAACACATACTCATTTCATCCCATAAGTTACCCTCTCTGCCTAAAACCAGCACGAAGAACTAGGGGTCTGGAAACGTGACTGATTTGAAAACCGAAAATCATACTCGTACTCAATCTCGTACTCGTAGTCCAATCTAAAGCTCCGTGTTAAGGTGATTCCTCACATTTGCATCGCGCATCCCTACTGCGCATAATTTATGGCGTCATAAGCGCGCGCTCGTGCACGCGCATATTGAAAACATGACGGATTGGCCTTGATATTGAGCTCTGTCTGTTGAAAAATGGCTCTAGCTCACCAACGAGCTCGGGCACCCCAATTTTTATTCCAGTCATTGTAATCAACTAATCATAAGCTTTGCGTCAAAAAAGACTGATGTAATTTCTATTGCTAAAAATTGAATAAATAAGAAAAATAGCATATACACTGTGGTCTTTTCTATTTTGCGGTTTGGTAACCACATCAAGAAATTTGGTCCAAATTTTTAATCAAGGATTTAGCTTTCTGTCTGAATCAAACTTAAAATGTTTATTTGTGTCCGACATTATGTATTGACTGTAGTTTAATGCGTGTTCTTATGAGTCTGGGCACACAAAGATTTTACAATTACTGGGAATGCGTTCTTATAATAAGCATTAAATAATGCCAAGATGGTGCATTTTCAATG